CTCCATATCATACTCTTATTTGTCTTGATTTCGTATATTTGAAACTTAACATTAATTGGTTCGTATAAACGAGGTTCGGATGAACGTTGTTCTACTGTAAGAAATTGTTGTTTAAAATAATTAAAGATTAATTATATAAAATAAATTGTATATAAATTATTATATATATAAATTATATATAAATTATTATATATATATAAATTATATATAAATTATTATATATATATAAATTATATATAAATTATATATAAATTATTATATATATATAAATTATATATAAATTATATATAAATTAAGATAGTTATTTATGTGAAAGTTGAATTAGTAGCAAAACTTTTTAACGCGCATTTATTTTCAGAAAGCAGTAGTTTCATGCGATCGTGATGTATGTATGTACATACATACGTACTTCTTTGGAGTTTAGGTTTATACCCACAAAACGTACGAGTTTCTCTTTCAAAAATAAAACACGAAAAGCTCGAAAGAATGATTGATCTAAATTAAACCAGAATCTAATGCAGGCACTTACTTTCCTAAAGTAATGGTGGAATGATTTTTCTCTAAATGGTTCGAATTAGGTGATTACCTTGCCACTTCCACATAAACTTCATCGGTTGTATTAAATATTTGAACTTGTTTAGTATATCAAGGTCTTTCGATGCAAGTGCCAAGTGAATCAATTCTTTTAACATAATTAAAATTCAAACGATCATTTGTTTTATGAAACAAAAAAGATGAACCACAAGCATGAGTAAGAAAATGTTCAAATTTAATAAATTTTTAAATTAAATATATCATACTTAATATTCAGTACTTAATATTCAATTAGTATCAGTTTTTACTGACATTCGATAAATTCTTTTAACCTAATTAAAAATAAAACAATCTTTTGCTTTATGAAAGAAGAAAATTAACTGTAAATATGAATAACTGAAGTATTCAAATTTCTATATTTTCAATGAACTAATGTATTTTCAAAGTGGAATATTTTTATAAAACATGTATAATTTGAATAAAATAATAGACTGCACTATTCACTCGCGTAATTAACTTTTGTGCTTAAAAACTCATTTCGAACGGTATTGCAAAATTGTATTGCTCAAGCCGCGATTTGGTCGTTCAAGAAGCAAGACTGTACTATAAAAACAGACATTCCGACAAATACAAGATTGAAGCGTATATATATATATATATATTCTTGGTACATTCTTGTAAGTCATTACTTTCAATACCACCTTACGTATTGCAAATATTTAGTTATTTAGTAATAATCGTATTATAATATTTTGACAATTTTTTAATATTTTATTTCCATATTTTAATAATTCTTTCAACCTTTAAGTGCATAAGTCATAGATTTAGAATTAATGGTATTGAACGTGGGAAATTTGCAGTGGTAGATTTAAAATCTAACATTCTGTATCCCCACATTTCGTGGTAGAGGTAACTCCGTAACTGAAGTTAGCAGTTTTATTTTAATTCCTATGGAATTCGATGATCTTATATTTTACGAAAAATAATTTACATCGTCGAAAATATAAATGTGAATTTTAAGAAAATGTAATCGTAAATTTGTGAGGTTCCCGAGAAGAAATAACAGATTAGGTTACATATTTCGAGCAACTTGGTTAATTCGAGAGCGTTAAGATGTTACTTTCACGTTATCAGTATCACGAACTACAAAACCAGAAACTGGTCCCGAATGAAAGGCGTATCTCTGAGGAAATAATACGCTCGCTCGAAAGTGCGGAAAGAGCAAGCAAGACTCGGACAAGCATTCTATAACAGATTCAACAAATGTTGAAAGAACAACTGTTGAGTTTCTCTAGCTGCACATTCGCCAGAAGTGAAAATAGAGGACACGGTATTGATACAATAGCTTGTCAAAGAATTATATCTAATAATAACGGAGATGCAAACAGGATACAGTAGGCTAGTGGAACAGGTGACATAGAAAGGACAGGTTGTCCTACTATCGCGTACGTTACGCATCATTCTGATTATGTTTCCCTATCACCAACATACTTTACAGTTACAAACACATCGCGCCTGTGCATGCTCAGTCGAATCGGGTTAATCTACCTGCAATAACCATTCATCAGTTGCATGGAAAGTTCGGCGGATGTAAAAATGAACCGTTTAGAAACCACATCGATCAACTTCGTAAATAGAAAAAGTGATGATTGAACTGTGGATTTAACGTATATTTTTGTAAATATATATATATATATATTTTGTAAATATATATATATATATATTTTGTAAATATATATATATATATATATTTATACATACGAATGAATGAATACAAGTTATAAAATTTCTTTATTTTATTATAGATATAATAGTAAATTTATTATTTTTTTTATAAATGTTGAACAATAATTGTGTTCTAATTAATAATGATGAATGAAATATTATTCGAAATGGATTTTCAAGAGGTATTTTGATTTGAACTGAAATTGGGAATTTTTATTTCTAAATAAATTCTTAATAAACAATTTGGATTTCTAATAATAAATATTAACTCATTATTACCTATTCATTTGTTTGTTATCAGGAAAAATTACGTTAAACTTTCTGATTATTTTTTAAATTAAATGTAATTGAAGATCGTAAGATGTAATTGCAATTTGATAATATACTTATTCCTACTAATATTCGTAGTATGCGATTGAATAACCTTCTTGTCGAGAGATTCTTTATAAAGTATTCTCTGTAAATAAGATAAAATGTCAGTTTCAAGTTCATTGAAACCGGGCAGCAAGCGCATTCCTCGCGACGGAGAAAACGAGAACCTCTTATGATAATTCAAGTTTCTCTACTAACGTTAAGAATTTCTTCCTGATTTCAAGATGAAAACATGGAAACTCTCTAATCTGTTACAAATCTCCGAAGCAAGTTTAACTTTCCAAGTAACGTTTAAGAATTTTCGTAGAAACATATGTTAACTTCAAATTTATTTATACATAAAGAAATGATTAATTAAATTATTGTAACTTTTATATCAGTATTGCATAGATTATGTGTAGAATTAAAAATTTGGGTAATTATTTACAAAGGGGTACGTCTCACCGATTTCAATGAACTTTAAAATATGTTGTCGAGGGCGTGAGTCTAAGTTTTCTTCTCTTTCTACATGTAACTATCGCCTGATTTTAATTTTCGAGATATTTGACAAAAATATACTGTATCAATTTTAGTTAGATTTAGGTTAAAACTCCAGGGTGGGGATGCCTACGCTTTTTCTTCGCAATACACGATTTTTAGTTGTGAAATACAGTTATTATTAAAGCAAGCAGAATTCTACTATTACATCAGAAAATCGTGTATTCTATATCGTAATTATACTGCCTGCGAAACAAAAACTACTTAATCGACTCATTGGACAGACTGTAATGATACATTGTGAAATAAAAGCGGTGATAGGGTAGGAGTGGACATCTTTCTTTGCCCCCAGACCCCGAATTTCTGAACCAAACCTCGCAGAAATACGAAACTATTGCGTATAGTTTCGGCTACATTTTCGTGAATGTTTCGAAAATTAAGGCTGAGCGATCTTTGCATGTATAGGAAAAAGTTAATCAGAATTACATGCTTGACAACGTATTTCAAGGATTTCATATCTCTTTGTAAATAAATTATCAATTAAATAATTACGATGTCATGAATTTTTGAAGTTCGGTAAATTTCAATAAATTAATGGGATTTCAGAGGTTTTTTTCTATTTCAAATTGTGAAACTGCATCACGTAATATCTTTCTTAATGGTAAGTCTGGTATAATCATCTGGTAAGTCTACTGTAATCATCTCAGCTTCATTGATTTGCAAATCATTACGTGTCATCTATACAGGAATCAACTATAATTTGAAAGATATTTATAAAATTGCAAATGAATATTTCTTTTTAAAAATTTTTTCTCCTGAATTAATTACCTGATGCGGTGTAGACATATTTTTAATCGCCGAAGAATTATAATGAAATTAAGAAACTTAAAAAGAATAAATGTCAAATATTGTAGAGATCGAAAATAAAATTCATATATACCTTCTTCTTCGGAACAGAAAGAAAAAGTTAGTAAACTTAAAATAGACAGTGTCAGGCATTATAAAAATTGAAAATATTAATCACCCTTTTCTTCTTTCTCGTGAAAGCTGCTTTATAAAAAATACTTGCTCTTTAATAATATAATATAATCTTTGTATTAACGTTGACAAATATGAAAATCGAAATAAAACAAACCGTATGTTTCGTAAAGTTTCATAGATCATTGTAAATCATCTTACGTATAGTGAAACTTGTACGAAAAGTTGTTGATTATAATCGGAAACGGAAAGACATAATAGTAATTAAAATGAGAATCACGTAGAAAATATTACTTCTAATTTTAAATCAACAGTTGCGTAATTACCGAGCGCAATCCTTATTGCACTGAAATTCATTTCACTTTTAAATTAAAATAATTGCTACTACACTGCAAGGTGTTTCATAATAAGAACAAGCAGCGTCTAAAATCATCCGTTTCGATAGAAATCGGAAACCTGTTTGTATCGCGTGGTTTTCATGGTCGAAATTTTTCCATGAAATTTTTACGACGAATTGCGACCAACGATATATATATTAAATGAAATAATTTGACGATTGTTAAATTGATATTACTATTTTAATTATATAATTTTATACTTTAAATATAATAATTTAATCTATATAATTATATAATTATTGTGACTCTTTAAATAATTTTCATCATTCAATCAATAATATTCAAAGTTCAATGAAATAGCGAACCAACAATTGAATAATGCAGTAATTAACTTATCTGTTAAATCCCGTATTTAATTTCGAGAGAAGAACCGGGTTATCTTTCGATCGTTATATATTCACGGTACACGCGTTAACGCGTTTCATGATCAGTGTCGGATTATTACATCGCAGTATTATTTCACCGGGTAACGGGACAGTGTATGAAACGCAAATCATAGACTACGATAATGCTCACCGTGTTTGAGTTTTCCATTCCTCGAAATGAGGAAGGACAAAGGTCTGGGAACCTTGTCCGTGTACAGGCCATCGTGTTGATTCGTCCTTAGCCCGAACAGAGCGTTCCTTCCTACTTTCATGTACTCTTTGCCCATCTTCTTGGGCGAGCTGATGCCCAACAACGACCCTATGAACTTCATTTTCGACCAACGTTGCCCAATCGGATCTCGCGATAATCATAGAAGTGTCGAAATTCCTTCGAGAGAGCCCGCTCACTTTCGTGCAACACCGGTGCACAAAATCAGGTTTCGAAAACCCGGGGTGGCTCTCTTTGTGAAGTGTTTCTCAATATTAAAACAGGATACGTAATACGTGCGCGTTACGTGCAAAAGAAAAAGATGCCGCTGGAAGATCGACGAAAGCGATAATCGCTCGCTTTGCTGGAATTAGTTTATGTTTCACTATGCTAAGATTCACAGCAATTAAGATAATTGGATAATTCGTGCTCTGTTTATCGTCGCCGCACCATAGAAATCTTGTTACAATTAATCTGCGATGTGTTACGTTTCGAAAGTGTTGTTTCACGTCACTTCTCCGAGCATTGTTTCCGGGGATGTACGCGATCTGTTCTTGAAACACCGTTACCAAGCATCGCCTGCTCTTTCCCTCGCAATCCGGATCGATTCTTCCTTCCTTCCTCGATCTGGTTTTTCCTTTCCCCTGTATCGTTTCTTTATTGCGTCCGATACAGCTATTCGAGTTATACTTTCACGATCGTGATGTTATACAAGCTGTTTCAGATTAAGGATCGTTGGGTTGTCGCGTGTGTCTATCGTATTCTGAAATAGAGGAATAAAATAATATTAGTAAAACGAATCGTTTGAATTGTTAGACTGGATTAAGGTAACATGTCATTTAAATATAATATCATTGACTGACAAATTTGACGACATAAAATACGATAGATTATTTTTCTCTAGGCTCAGAAATAGAGTATATATATATATATTGGTTGGAATTAGTTTATTCACTAATTGAAAAAAATAAGAAAAATAATAGTAAATTTCTTTACATAAAAAAATTATAAAATTAAATATATTAAACTATTATATATTAAATATATTGATTATTAATATAGTCTCTTTTAATATTTCAACTAGTCTACTAAAATTATTCAGTAAAAATTATCATAAAATTTAAATAATCTTCTTCTCATAAAAAAGTCAGAGAAATATTAGAATATTTTAATCGATCTCTGGTTAATTAAAATTGCTTATTAAAATAGACATATTATATACATTATGGCTCTTGATTACTAAAATCTTTTGTACATTCTCATTGAACGAACAACTAGAAGTAAAACATAGTGGTACTAAATGAAGTTTCCACTCAAGTTCATCTATATAGCAAAAATGGATGAAAGGTTATGTGCAGTATTAATTTTCATTAATCATCCAGTGTATACACAATTAAGATGTTAGAAGATTTCTTCTCCTCAGATAAGAATAAGTTAGTAAGTTGTAAAAGTTCATTCAACTAACTGTTTGAATAATTCACGTTGTTTTGAAACGTTTAGCTTTACGGATGACTGTAATCATAAAACATAATACGTTTTGGAAATTGCAGGTCTTTTCAAATGACTACGTTTACCTACGTGTACTGCACATTCTACTTATGACATAAAGTGTAATATAAAACGAAACGATCATATTCCTGGGTTTAAAATATTCTCATACTCATTTTTAATATCTTATCTCGAATTATAATCAATGGAAAAATTTCATCAGAATAATATTTATAGATTATTTTCATATCTAACTTTAATATTAGACTTTAGAACTAATAATCAATACGAGATCTGCTATTTTGTCAGAGCATCGAAATTTTTTCATCGCATTAAACGCGCCGTTGTTGCAAAATTCTTTTTATCGAAAAGAAAAAGGCTGGGGAATCCAGGCTTCGCGTATACTATGTATCTAACTCAATAACGCTATATGCTATTGTGCTGTTATTTTTAATATCGCAAAAAAGCTAATTGATGGTTAAAGTGCTAACCGCAATGATTCATGAACGGTCATGCAATTATTTATGAACGATAGCGTTGCTTATATCTATGTAATTGTCATTATGACGAAAGAAGCTGTCTGTTCTTTATATTACGTATCTTTGTGATCTATCGATTCGTCTTTAGTTATGTCGCTACCATCGTTGAGTATCATCTAATAAATATTCATTTCTGATAGATTGTACGCAAATACAAAGAAAATATTTAAAATTAAGAGAAAATATATAAAAATAAATTTTCATAATGTTGTTTCGCTTAACTTTCGAATAAATTAAATTCAACGCTTCGTTTGCTATTGGCATTTAATGGATGGGTCTGTATATAGAAAATAATTACAAAACTGTGTTTTTATTTATTTGCGAGTGATATTGATTAAATTCTATGAGTAGAAACTTTAATAAAAATATAAGACACCATAGAAAGTGTAAATAGTTTCGTCACATGATATGAAAGTTATTTCGGCGTGTGGTATAATAACAGGGTTAAAGGTTGAGTGAAACGAAATTTCAGCCAACACGTAGAATTTAAAATAAAAATAAAAATCATATAAGACGAAACCTAGTAGCACTTATACTTTCACTATTCGTTAGCACAAGTACTTAGTATTTACTCACATGCTATATAGAATGGTTATATATGCTTGAGAAAGTAGTAATGTTCCTCTCATTATAATATAATACTGCATTACATTACGCAAGATAATCGTGTTTTAGGAAACGAAAATTATTAAAAAAAAAAAGAAAAAATGCTTTGTCAAATGTTGCGAACGTACATACAGTTTGTCAGGAGAGAATTTTGATTTTTCATTACGTATCAGTGAACATTAAAAATTTCGCACGATTAGAGTTCGTAGAAAGCTACTCGTTGACATAATCCAAATTTAACCTCGAGAAGAATTGCTATTTTTTTTTTTTAGAACTTTTTGACGAAATTTTAGTTAAAATATCCAAATTGTTTAACACATATATGCGAAAAATAGAAAGTGCTGATAAAAAAGAAAACTGTTAGTCTGTTCAACAAACATTGTGAAACATGTGCATATACATATGTATTGAATGAATCCTACTTTGAATGGGACATTTGCATCTTATTGTTATCGAAGTTTACATTGTTAAGTATGTGTTACGTTCGCGTGTATTACGTTTGAATAATTTATGTTAAATATTGCTTTAATTTCGAAAACAATATTTGTTGTGTACTTTTTATCAATATTTATACTTTTATTCTTGTTCTTTACTATATATTGCAAATTTTTTTTACACATTTTATTTAATATGTAATATGATGCTAAATGCATCTTTAATAGGAGGATCAGTAGAATATAAAGTTTATTGTAGTTTCATTTAATGCCTTCAAATTTTAAAATGCTTTCCTAATTTTTTCTAACATTTACTTTCTTCAGTTATAACAATTGAGTTTCCTCCAATTTTAGAAATAATAGTTTCGTGACAAGGACATGGTTCTCTAACTCTAATTTTTTAATTTTATACATTTATTTTTATATTCTATATTATTACATATTTCTATATTATATTATATTCTATATTATTACATATTTCTATATTATATTATATTCTATGTTATTACATATTTCTAAGTCACGATATTTTTCACTCTCATTTAACGTTAGAATAAAGTTTGGACAAAAATGTAGATAGAATGAAAATCTCAAATCTAAACATATGTACATTACATTACCCATTTATGTAATAATCACAGTGAATAGATTACTGAATTGACAAAAAAGAAGCTAGTTAAAACTATACTTATTTCAGTCAATGATAACTTATGTTAGCATATCGTGAAAAGTCGAACTGAAGAGAAAAGTCCACAACGGAATGTCAGATAACCATGTTGTTACGCATGACGAAAATAAGAGCTGTTTAGTGATAGACATGCAATAGAACCGTTACATCCCTGAAGAGACAAGATAATGGTTCTGTAGCCCTGAGAACCGGGAGTTTCCACGAGAACACGAGATATTTGCGTAGAGTACTACAGAACATTTCAATTTGTAACTGATAATTAACTTTATTGAAATATTTAATAATTATTTCAATTGCTTCAATCTTTCTTGAACCATTACGTAATAGAAATATTATTACACTGTATATTTTTCCTACACAGGTATATAATTTTAAATAAATCGTGAATATTTTTCTCTAATTAATCTAAGATAAATGCTTTGGATACAGTTTTAATAAAAATATTGCGTTTTAATATCACATTCAGCTTAGAATATCAACTAAATTAAATAATTAATTAAATAAATCTCATTGAATATCGAGAGCTTTAAAAATTTAAGTTCTATATCGTTTAATTTCAAATTTTATTATTAACTTTTATCGCGGATAAAGTATAAAGTACAAAATAAAATTTGAACTTGAATTGAATCTAAATTTTTGTAATATAATACAAAACATCTATAACATTAAACCTACAATATTACTTGGGAATTAATGTTAATAATAGTAAAAAGGGATTTCTATATTTCTATGTTGGTTCACTTTCTGTATTGGCCTATTCATAAAAATTTAACGATGCTAAACATTCTGTAGCATAAATGCCGTATAATCTTCGTATTCAAATTTCTCACACGTGTCGAATGGTTATTTGGAATTCACCTTTCTTGTTAATCTTGTTTCTCTGGGGAAAAACCAGGAATCTTTTGTATAAGCCTCGAGACAGAAAAAATATCCCGACTACATAGCGTTGGAACTGCATTCCAAAAGCATCCCAAAATCTTCCCTTAAAGAACTGGTTTCAAGCCGATGAAAGATTATTATATGATACATTATAAGAAAGACACGTCAAAACTTACTTTATATATATATATACATACATACGAAACACGATTAAAATTGCCAATTAATTTCAAGATTGTTTGTTGCTTCAATGATTTTTATTTTACTCGTTCCCGAATTATCTTCCTTGAAATTGTACGAAATTGTTTTAATAATTGTTTGAACTTTGAATTTCTTTTATAGTATACATTTACATATCAAACGATTATCAATAGACTACGGATTTGTATGCAAAATCATATTTTTGAGAATATCATTCAAAAAATGGAATTTTCGTAGAAAATCGTTTTCAACTAAATGTTGCATGAAACACTACACTTTGAATATTTTATATATATTTTTCTTTTTATCTTTTGCGCATACTCTGCGCAATTTTGCACTTTAAAATTTCCTATGAATGCGTAAAAATCCACTATCGGACATCAGTTTGCAAAACTTTCGTTATGAATAGTAACTTTTACATCAAGTCGAAACTTTCAAACTAATATGACGTATACATTATAATGTATATGTCACACGTGAATGTGTATGTACATATTTATGTAAAAATTCACGCCTGTAAAAAATATATAGAATACGTAATTTACAAAAAATATAAAAAATTGTCAAATTATTCATTATAATATTTAGAGAATATTTAATATTATGATGCTTGGAGTTCTGCGAATATTAAAAACTTTTACGTCAAGTTGAAACACTCGAACTAAAGACGTGCGTATAATTATAAAAAATTGACATGTAAAATAATCCATAAAAACCTAGTTCGATAAATGATTAGTCCGATTTTCTAATTAAAGTGATTTACGACAACATTTTCAATTTTTCTAATTCTGTGACATATATTTTTGAGCATTTTTACAACAAGTGCATTACAATGAAATACTCTTGCGCAAATGTTGCATAAAGTTGGTGGAAAATCCGATATTTCACGTCAGTGATTCAACGACGAAACAGTTTCACCAATGCATTA